TTGTCACAGGAATCAAACTCCATGTTGTACAAAAAATCAACAGCACTCGCCCGGGTTGCAGAAACAGAAGGACCGTATTAACAAGAGGATCTATTCTCACAGAAGTTGCTGGAAGGCTATTTCCAACGTGCACCGATGTTGTGTTCCCCTCCCGCGCCTAATAGTAGGCGAAGATTTTCGAGTGTATCTGCCGAAGAAGTCACAGATTAGCGATCAACTTTGGGCTAGGCAATTCCCATTCCAATAATTGTATAACCTATCATCCAGAGACAATGATCTTATCTCAGGTTTACATCCACCACAAAGAGAGAAGTAGCTTGGAATTATCACTTACATCATAACCTATCAAATAGGGAGACTCACGATATGCTCAACCTCCTAACCCTGTTTGAAGCTAGTTCATTTAAATTCTTGATAAGATACTAGAATTTGATCATTGGAACCTAGGGGTCAATGCACTCATAAGAATTTCTTTGTTAACCCCACTAATAATCAACATCTAACCATCATATTGTTGTCAAGGACGTTTAGAAAGCTTCAGTTTCATCAAAGGTAAGGGTGTTTGCATGAACGATCATTCATCAAATGCTCAACACGAATGAGATGTTACAAGTTCGTCAGCCTAACAGAGTTTTTGTCCCTACGTACCTGCGTTATGTGTTACAATAGAAGAGAGACACACTCATATTTATTTATTCATTGTTAGACAAAATAGATATCGTGGTGTATATGGCTTGAGAGAAACCACAAGATATTTCAAGGCCACTACTCATCATGCCATTAGCCACGAGAAAGGGTAACGTTTTTGGCCACCTTATGGGCAAAAGCTCGCAGGAACTATACTGATTTAGTAATTTTTGAGCTTCTACAGAATTAGGAGGCGATCATGTTGTCACCATAGGCGATTTTGGCTGTTTTATTTTTCTACAGTTGATTTTTCCATTTATATTTATTGAGGATGATGTCTTATCCTCCATATATGTATTCTTTCCTTTCATTTCCTGATAATACTATCCAAAAATAAATAGATAAACTAAAAAGTAAAGAGAATCTTAACATAATATGATAGCATAATGGAATTTTAATCCAAATTCTTCTTGCAGTCCCCATGGGTCCCACATTTTTATACCAGGCTAGTAAATTGATCTCCCTCCTTGCTATATGACATCAAAAACCTAACATGACTAGATTAATTAAGTAGGAAATTGTTAAAAACCAAAATTTCTAAACTGAATAAGAAATAAAAACACTATCCTATTAATAGGCTATGCTTAAGAGTTCCAAATAATCTAAATACCCTTAATAACGCATAAAATTATAAATATAGGATATCTCTTAATATTTAAATATATAAATTTTGTGATACACTTGTTATGCATTACTGAAACTATCCAAAGTGCAGACGAATTCCCTCAAGCAAAAAGCTGAAAAGATCCCACTAGAGTGTTCATCACCAGACAAAACTATATTGAAAGCACAATCCACCACCCAAGGACATGTCAGGGCCTTGACTCATTAGGGTTTATGTCAAGTGAGGTAGAACATGAGGAGAGAATAGTTAAAGAGAGAGAGATAGGAGGGAGAATAGGAGCTTAGAGAAAGAGAAATCCGATTCAATGATACAGTAACTGTACTACTCCCAGTCATTGGGTACAACAGTCATTGGGTACAACCATGATTGTAGTACAACTATTTTCAGAACCATTTTCACATAAAACAAAGAAGCTCCACAGGAAGGTTCTCTAGAATTTAGGAATGAATTAAGGCTCTCTAAGTGGTTGAGTTGCACTGAGTCAAGGCTCTTTGAAGTAGCCAGTAAATTGATTTTAAGCATCATAAGCTCTAGCCTGAAACAGAGTGAGGAACCTAGTAGAGGAACACCACCTTGACTGAGGAACAACCAGCTAAGTGAATGCATCTTGACCAGTGGCCAATTTTCTTACAAGAAGTTTCAACAGCTTTGGTTCTCTTATTTGAAACACTCCAATGCTCTAATGAACCAATGAATTTGTTTTCTTATAAAAAAGAAAATAATAATAATAATAATAATAATAATAATAATAATAATAAAGATAAGGCTTTAGGATGGGCTCCCTCACTAGTAGAACTCCCATGAAAGAGTATCTAGAATCTAGAGTTGTTTAAACATTTGGAATCGTGTTGTTTGTGAACTAATTATTTTAGATTTTATATATAATGTATGTGTTTTTGTGTTTTTAACTTCTTCAGCTGTTTGTGAACTAATTCTTTAGATTTTATATATAATGTATGTAATTTTATGTGTTTTCAACTTCTTCACATATGTTTATGCATATATACATGCATATGTGACATGTATAAATATGTAATAACCCTTACAAAAACTCTAAAAATGGGTATCATGTACTACACACCCAAAGTAATGAACCACATAAAACTAACCCCAATACCATTTACCAAAGAAAACGATGAATCGCATACCTATACCATGTACCCATAACAAACTATGACCAAGGCAACCACCACTGGTCCTAGACCCTACACTTTGTTTCCTTTTCTAGAATGGAAAATGAAGAGAAGATCAAATGTGATGTAGGACAAGTTAGGGTAGTTCGCCTACTTAGGATTTGGGAAGTAAGAACCTAGACATATCTAAAAGAATGCTTAAGCATCTTGCTTAAGAATTTGGTGGCATCATAATACCAGAAAATTGAAAAATGCTTCCGATCTTCCTCCACTTTATAAGCTCGAATATGCTTAGCTACAACTAAGAAAGATTTATCAAATCTAATATTAATGAACAATGATTCTTCTCTTCCTCAGAGTCCACATATCTAAATTTTCTTTTATCAAAGTACAGTAGGATGCCACTTGAGTGAAGCAGAGTACAAAACAAGAAGTAGCCAAAAATACCGAAAACTGTTTGGAATTGCTGAAAACAATTTTGAAGAGACTAAACTAGTTTGGTCAATCTTGTAATGCCCACTCATGGGTCATGCATATGTGACAACCACATGCCGGTTTCGGGTAAATGGTGGCATTGGGTTCTGACATAAGCTCAACCTGAATGTGTTACAGATCAGTGTGATGTGAGACGCACTTGTCGGAAAGGGCCAAGATTAAGAAAGGTACCGAATGCATGATTTGCAACAACTGGCACATTTTCCGATAGATTTTTGCAATGGAGCTCTAGTTGGATGCTGAGTATAGGTCTCTAGTTTATTTTAACGAAAAGAAAAAAAGATCATAGGTCTCTAGTTGATGGTGGCAACTGTGTTAATCACCACACACTGGTTGTGGATGATTTGCAACCAGCAGCTATTTGACGTATTAGGGTTTTTACGATTTTTTTCCCCCTCCAAATAGGTCTAGAATTGATTTGGTAAGGAGTTTTGAGATTTTCTTAGTTTAGTAACTTTTAGCCCTTATATTAATGATATAATACAAATTTAAGGTAATTTGCATGTTTAGGAATTTTTGGAAACCTAACTACCACACTAGCATTTCTTAGGATCAAATTTACGAAGTCTTAAATATCACATTTAAAGATTTGATTGCATCACACAACCCAAAAATTTAGAAAATCCTCAAAGTACTTTGTTGATAATTGAACTGAATTCTCTCAAAGGGTAACTGCAGTCTCAAAGTATTTCCCCACTGCTACATCTCTCATCGCCACCTAATCTCCAACCACATTTCAAATCGAGACTATTGCCCAAACCTTGACACAACCTACTGACCTTCCTCCCCAAAAAAACGGAAACCATGAGCCCATGCCCAAAGAAAATGAGTAGTACATCACGAATAATCCTTACTGGGAAAATACTGCCTAACTTCAGCAAACTAATAGTTAATAGAAATTAACTAAACGCAAGGAGGCTAGGTAGATCAGTTGTTACCTCGAGTCACCAAAGAGTGACGAAGTTTCTTCAAGCAGCTGACAGAGTTTGTGCGGTGGAACATAGAATATTTGTGTCCTTGTCTCTTTGGCAGAAACAATCAGCCTATCCCTACGTGATCCAGTATGTTTAGGGAGAAATCCAACTGAAAAAGAATAAGTAATATTAGGAACAAGTTAATGTTAATGCTACCAATACTACATGGTCACAAAATTGCAAAAAGAGAGAGTTGAGCATTAATTCCATCAGAAAATTCACCAAATGTGAACTCATCAGTTGCCAAACCCGAGGCAGAAACAGCAGCTACAACAGCAGATGGCCCGGGAATAGGAATAACAGGAATATTCTCATCCACACATAATTTCGCCTGCATAATGATCCCAACTTGTCACATTCTTCATCAAAATTTAAAGGACAGCTAATACAGGGTTTCTAAGAATAAAGGGACCCTTAATTAAAGAATATCTGAAATAAGATATGCAAAATCCCTACAATCAGATTGTTCAATTTCAAAGTGCACGGAAAGGTTACTGAAGTAAGTGAAAATTACAAATACTATATGTCTGTACTAGGTTTTGCTAAATACACGGACGATCTTGCTTGCATCAAGAGAAAAAGATTGCCAAGCTCATAGTAATAGGGAAGCAAATAATACACCATCACTGAACAACAAATAAAACAGACTCTCACCAATTCTGAACCTGGATCACTAATGCCTGGTGTCCCTGCATCACTAATCAGTGCCACAACCTCCCCTTGTCGCAACCTCTTTAACACCGTTTGTTCTCTTTGAGCCTCGTTGAATTTATGATAACTCAGCTGGAAACCTAAAGTCCAGGCTCAGAATGGATACAAAAGCCCAAAACTGCCCCAATAACTTATACCTCAAAGCTAACAGAAACTTACGAGGGGAGCTCTAATATTATAATGTTGAAGTAACTTCCCAGAATGCCTAGTGTCCTCTGAAAGTATCACATCAGCCGATCTTAAAACGCGAAGTGCACTACATTATCCAGAGTCAAGATAAATAAGAACTTGATTAGAGAAGAAAAAGCTAACACAGTTTATTCCAAAAACAAAAATGGATATACACCCATGTATTTCCAGATTCAGCGAGTACCGTAAGGTGATATCTTCAAGATTCCCGATAGGTGTTCCGACTAGATACAGCCCAGGCTTAAGAGGACCCTACAATGTCAATACACCACCTCAAAAATCGCTGTTAGTTTTGCTTAAGCAAATGAAATTCCAATTTTTGCAGTAATTAGTTAGAGTTACTGTATGAGAATCTCTCTCTTGATTATTAAAAATTCTCCTAGCATTAAGGAGAAGAAAGCAGAAGTGATGGTGATCGAGTTTTCGATAGGACATGAAAATACTACAAACAATTAACTGAAATAAGGAACAATTTCTGCGAAAAACAAAGGGATTGGATTACTTACACGCTTCGAAGATTCTTCGCGAACTGAGTCGGTGAATTCTGTGGAAATTGAGCTGGAACATAAGGGACCGACGCAGAGGTTAGGGTATAGAGAGATTGATCTTTTCAATGTAAAGAGGAACTGACTAGGTGGGAGACGCCATGAGATAGCAGTGGCTCTGACATTAGGCACTGAAGCTGAAGGTAGCCGGAATAACAGCATTTGAGCTCTGTGGTGCGGTGGCATATGAACGCATTCAGTAGGTGCCTGCGCGTGATTGCGCAAATTCAAACTCAATTCGCCTGGCTTAGCAAATTACATAAATATGTGGGTTTTATATAAAAATTGCAGAATTTTTTTCCATTAATTTTTTAATTTGAATATTGAATTGCTCTATGTTAAGAAAAACCTTCCACCACTTTATATTCTTTTTCCAAGTTTCTTTTAAAAGGTATCTGATTTTTATTTTCTTCCCTTTTTTGGATCATCAAGAGACTATGTGATGTTTGAAATCATTATTCACGTGAACTTGTGATAAAATTTTATATTTTTTATACATCTAAATATAATGATTGATATTTACGTTTAACATTTTTTGTAATTTAAAAATTTCAAAATCAAAATAAAAAAATAAGTTGTATTTAACCAATTAAGTTAATATATAACCACTTGTATCGTTCAATAATTTATGTACTTCTATGGATAATAAATTAACACACAACTCGGATTTAACCAAGAACAAAACATAGACAATGAGATTAAATAAATAATTATTTATATAAAATCCACATAGACAAAAGTTTTTTACGTATATAATAACATGTTCAAAGAG